TTAACCTTTATATAAAACTCTCTTATACATGAGTTTCTGTGGATTTGTTTCTCTAAAGTACCCAGACTAACACAGGTGGCCATCTAGTATACATTTGTTGGTCTCTCCCTGTCCAGAGGAAAGACGAGTGAAGAAACTTGCAGAGGCCAGGCAACCATTAGTCCAATGGACTAATGGACCAAGCAAGCATCAGCGTCCATGCCCCTGAGACCAGAGTGGCCAGCTGCTACCATCAATTGCTCTGACAGGGATCACACGAGAAGGTCCTAGATAGAGTGGGAGAAAATGTGAACTAAAACACAAACTTCCAATCGGTGGAGCCCCTGAGACTATGGCCCTTCGTCACCTGTCAGGTCTGGAAATGATTTCACCTCCATGGCTGTTTTCAGTGAAGCAAGAGGGGGCACACTCTAAGGGGGACAACACCATTTTCGAATAATCGACTGTTTGAGATCAGAAGGGCAGAGTCGAGCCAAGGACAGAGTTCCGAAGGGTTAGGAAAGAAGGAGGAGTGGAAGTTGAAACACAGGGGAAGTGGGATAAGGGATGTTACGTTGTGGGATTGCAATCAATGACATGAAACAAATGTCCTGATGGTTAAGTGGAAAACAGACCTGCTCTGTAAACCTTCAGTCAATTCACAATAGAAAGGGGTTTTTGTTTTTTAAAAGAAAAGAAAGAACTCTTCCTTCTCATTCTCATTGTCATTGCCTCACTGCATTAGACCGATCTCCTCACTGGTTCCGATTACAACCGATTCCTCAGTGAGCTCTCGCTCCAATATAGCCAGATCCACTCTGTCCTCAGCTCTGTCTTCCTAAAATGCGAATTCTATTAGGCAATTTTCAAACTCAACTATAAACTCAAAATGACTTCCCATCGCATAGAAAAGAAAACCCAGTTCCTAAGTGTGGTATATCAGGATCTCACAGAGGTGTATCCATGGAAAAGATCCACGGTGGTAAATCGGTTTAAATTGGTGAGGGGTCTCTCACAGTTGGCAATAGAAACTGCCAAGGCCATTTGAAACTGCTCATGGGGCCCCACTCAGCTGGTGCTGAGTGTACACATTGGCACCCACCTGCCCTGCTCTAGGGATGCCTCTGGTTCTTCACGGTCTAGCCTCATCTCTTTTCTCTATCATTGCCCAGTGCCCACCAGGCCTCTTACCAAATGCACCTCCTTGCCTTTGCACACAATTTTCCCTTTACGCGGGGTCAGAGCCACTCTTGCCTCTCAAACTTAGCAAACTCCTATTCCACCCACAGAGCTCACCTCCAATATTACCTCCTTGTGAATGCATTTCTCCTGGATGCCCCAATCCGGCCCTCCGCCATGATCCTCCATCTCTGCTCATCACAGTCTGTTGCCCGAGTGGACTCTAACTCTTCAGGTGCAAGAATCATGCTTTGTTCGGCTACACAGGAAGTGCACAGCGAGTGTTTGGGCCATGCCAGAGGATTTCCCATCAGCCCTCTCCTTTGCGTATCTTGCCAGAGGCCTTTGGTACCCTGGGATTTCGCTTCAGTTAGGCAACAGAAAGCAGAGAAGCCCAGAAGAGAGGGAACCCTCGGGCGCTCTCCTTTATCGTTGGTCATAATTGTCCAACTTCAAAATAAACGCGAACCCCCCTCGTCACCTGCCATAGCATACTATCAAAGGCTGTTTGATGTTGTCTGTTTAGGTGAAAAGGGGGGAAAAGGTACTTGAGAAGGAAGTAATTCCCATTGCAGCACGAGCAGTAAGCAGATAAGCATCACCGACAGGAGTGGGGCAGACAAGGGATGGAAACATGCAGATCCCTGGCAACCACCTCTGAATGGCACCTTGCACAACACATCGTCAAAGCCAAGCCCTCTGTCGTGGAGTGGAGTCGATTCCCACACACAGCCCTCCAGAACAGAGCAGAACTGTTTCAGACTGTTCCCAAGGCGGAATCTTCACCAGTGCTGACTGCCTGGTTAGCAGAGGAAGTACTTCAACCACTGCATCACCAGGGCTCCGGTTATGGCATCGTTGTTGTGAGGTGCGTCGAATTGGTTCCAACTCATAGACACTGTATGTTCAATAGAAGGAAACACTGCCTGGTCCCAAAGCCATCCTCAGAACTCTTAGATTTGACCCCATTGTCATGGCTGCAGCCCCTGGGTCAGTCCATCTTGCGGAGGGCCTTCCTGGTTTGCACTGCCCCCTACTTTACAGAGCCTGACGTGCTCCTCCAGAGAATGGTCTCTCTCGGCAACGTGTGGGACAAAGTCTGGCCATCTTGCTTCCCAGGGACACTGGCGGTACTTCATCTAAGACCGATTTGTTTGTTCTTTTGGCCGTCCGTGGCACTGCCAACATTCGTGACCAGCACTGTAATTCAG